AAAAAATGCCCTTTGTATGATATTAGGCCTAATAATATCAACTTTGTCTCACAATGACATGTCAAGGACTAAGATATTGTCAATTGTCTCATAGATAGATAATAGTAAAGTGGATTGTTTTGATTTCCTAAAAGAAAAACATACGAGTCCAACACTCTATCGAATTAAAAACTGCAATTATATTAACACATGATTGAGCCAAATGGTGTTATTTTCTTCAACCATGGATCACAAAGTGAACGGCTCATAAAGGGAACAAAGTATAAAAAATGAAAATATCAAATAGGTTCATAGGTTACTGATGATCTAAGAGTATCACATCTTTCCAATTGTTTAACCCTCACAGTTATCTCACCAGCTGTGTTGTTTGTGTGTGTATTTCTAAATCTTAGCTAAAGAGGTTTGTAACAAGCTTTGTGCTAAGCTCTTCTGATCTGATCCTCCTTCAGTGTGAAAGTGTTCTCCGCTGCTCTCCAGCAGCAGCTACACTAATCTTCCCCACAGCAGATCCCTGCAGCTTGTGTTTGTGAGTAATCTCTCAGTTTGGTTCCAGGTAAATGTAGTTTTTCTCTTCCTCATCTCACACCCTAATGGACACATGAACACAACTGACAAGTCATCCCCGGGCAGCCAAGTCCAAAACCCACACACACACTTGTCATGTCCTCTAGGCATCACAGGCCCCTCAGTACTAGCCGCTCACTTCATGATTTGCTCGTTCAGTGAGTGATGGACAGATCCCCCCTCAGCATCACAAAAGAAAACACCTGTTAGAATCTGCTTAATCCTAGCCAGCGGCTCTGCACTTGGGGCCCTCGTCTAATCCGCACAGAGGCACCAGGCCAAGGCCGGGACAGATTAGACCCCCAGAAGCCATCTATCCATCCATGCACACACACACCTCAGAGTCTCCTCCCTATAACCGAGTGTTTGAATCGGCCCCTTAATCCTCCGACTCGCCCCCCCAACACAGGGACCTAATCTCCATGCTTCCCCTTCACACACCCGCAGACCTGGCCCTGCCCAGCAATCACTCCTCCACCTCCCATCCCCTCCCTCGTTATGGCTGAAAGCCTATTGATTTGTTGATTTCTCTTCTTTGTCTGCTGCCGGCCGAGTGTGAACGGGACATCCAGGGTCCGGGGCCCAGTGCCAGGACTTTTGGCATGGGAGATTAAGGTCCTGATCTGGGCATCTGTCACTGCTCAGTCCCCCTTCTCCCTTGTGGCTCTGGCAGAGGCCTTTTGCTTAATTTCAAACCCAGGCCTGCTGAATCACATAGTTCAAACCAAGGCCAAAATACTTTCCTGTTTGCCTCTACCTTTTATAATGTCAAATAATTATACCTTATTTTTTACAGTATTTTCTCTTTTATTAATTTATTTTATACTTGTCTTATTTATATTACTGTTTTAGTTGCATATTTATGTCATTTTATTGTATTATTGTTTATTTTGCACTTTGTCTTGATGCTCAATGTTTGTGTTCAGAATAGGACAGTGGTGAAGTCAAAGTGTCCTTTGACTACAAAGTGAAGTCAGTTCCTTTGGTCATGTGTGGCATTTCGGAAGAGATTCCTAAGATGCCGCATGTACAAAGATGATACACATGTACGTGTGGAGACATGTAGCCTACCAACAAAAACAAACATAATTCCTCTGGCCTAGGCTTTCACCAGTACATAAGAAAACATTTATTCAAGAACAATTTCACTGAAAAAAAATTAAATACTGACTACCTCAATGCAAATGTTTCATTTATGTATAGGTTATTTAATTCAGTAACGGATGCTCACATATGGTTTGCATCTCTTACTTTACCAATTCCATTACAATTGTAAAAGATGAATATGTAAACTATTTAAATAAAACAAACAATACCAACATCACAGAAACCATGACATATGTGTACATAACCCAGGAGTCACAGTATGTACAAACCACTGGTTCACAGATACTGTGTCTCCATCTAGTGGTGAGGAAGTAGAAGTATCTAGATTTTCCTCAAGTCAAGGAGGCTTAATGCATTCTGTAGCTTATCTTATAACAAACTGTTACGACCCGGCTCAAAAGGCCACAACAGACAGGAGACACACCATGTCGACGGTTAAAAAAATATGTTTATTTAGGACAAACAACTCCAATCAAGTCAAAACCACTAAAGTATGAGGTATGGATGTCAGTGGTATCAGTAATGTAAATGCAGGGTGATGATTGTATGGACATGTATGTGTGAGAGTGTTGAAGTGCACAAAGTAAAGCAACTGAAGAAACTCATAATATACTATATATTTAATATACTATATAATATAGTTTTCCACTCATAAACTCTGTTAACAGTGAAGTATTCCATTAACTATACTTGAGACCATCACTGTCACAGCAGAGTTACATCAAATATGTCGAAGTTTACACCGCCATCTGGTGGTTGAACGTGCTTATTTTGTAGATTGACATACTGTATTAATTAAAAGCAAAATCATTAAATAAGAGCAAAATATTAATGTGTTATAAAATATAAATATAATCCAGAACACATGAGGCATTAAAAAACAAAATGGTTTGGGGTTTGTATGGCTTTTATTGAATAAGGCACATAAGTAAGGCATTTGTTTTATGACATTGGAGTAAAACAATTTTAACTGTAAAGAAGCCAAACATTCGCATGGTCATTTTTAAATTCTTCTCAGTATAAAAGAACATTTAGCTTGATAACTATATCGTTTAAAAAAAAAAGTGTACTGCATTTTAACTGCAACAAAGTAAAACAGCTCACCAAAAGGGAACGACCTGAACTATTGTGACAACAAACCAGCAAGCTCATCTTTCAACAGCACCGCTACGACTTTAACTCGTTCACATCCAGCCAACAGCTTTGGACGAATAATTGCCCAAAAATACATAATCTTGGCAACATGCTTAAACTAAAATGTAGAATTTAGATGCAGTATTTTGAGACACAAGAAACATAGTAAAGCGATTTCAAAAGGTTCCTTCAGAAGAAAGAGACGTTGATATTTTTGGTCTTATGTCACAAATGTCATGGAAATGGGAAATGTTTTGTGTTACATGTTAAAGAAGAGATTAAAATACCTGGAAAGTGCTGTTATACGGATAAGATATGATTGTCAACACGTGAACAATTTGCATGTACAAAGGTTTGTTCCCATGTACCTCAATGTGAACTTTAAGTTGAGCAGAAGCTGAAGGTTTCCCGCGCTGGGACTCGTGACTGGATCCACTAGTTGGAGATGAGATTGTCACATGGCAGCAGCGGGCTGACACCAACTCTCTTGGCACATTCGTTCTGAAAAAATAAAAAAAGGCATCAAGAAGTCCAGTTAGTTAAATCTGAAAGCTCTTAGTATGGCTCCAGTATGTGCAGAACTCGGCTGCCAGGGTGCTCACTCACACCAAGCCCTGGCAGCACATCACCCCCACCCTGATCCACCTCCACTGGCTCCCAGTCAAGCACCGTATCACCTATAAACTCCTTCTTCTGACTTACAAATCCCTCCATGCCCTCGCCCCCAATACCTGTCTGACCTTCTCCGCTACCACACTCCATCCCGGAAGCTAAGATCATCTGGACAGGATCTCCTCTCCACCCCCCGCACCAGGTTGCGGACTTTTGGTGACAGAGCCTTCAGTGTGGCATCCCCCACCCTCTGGAACTCTCACCCCCCGAAATCTGCAGCGCCCCAACCCTGGACATTTTCAAAAAAGCCCTCAAAACGCACCTTTTTACCAAGGCTTTCGCCACTGTATAGTTAGTTAATAGGTTTATTTTTCCGCTACCTGCATTTTCTAAGTAACGAATGGTGTGAGTAAAAGACAATATTACATAATTAAACCTTTTATTTGTTTTATTTCCTATATATATTCATGTTGCACTGTTGGAGGAGCCTGTGACTTAAGTTTTTCATTGCCATATCGACACTGTAGCTAATGTACACATGACAATAAAGCTTTGAATCCTTGAAACCCTCTTCATTTGGACCAAAAAAACTAACATTTTCAGTCCATATGTTCCAAGAGCTGGAGTGAATGTTTATTATATGTTTCAGATGAATTCTGTATTCAACATCTCTTACCATGTAGTTGACGACATTGATGTGGTAGGGGATCCCGCCCATCTCCTCACACTTCTTCATGTTCATCCTCTCTGGATCTCCAGCAGCCAAAACTGGACAGCTCGGGTCAGCCTGAAACAAACGGCAGCAGCAACATGAAGCTCAAAGCAACATGAAGCGCTTTTTAATGTTTTTATTTATCAGACTGAGCATGCTTGCAATCATTGGACATCATCTACATGTGTTTCCTCCCTTTGTACAGTGTGTATCAGCACCACAGCAGGATCTACTCACAGGCTCCATCCCCCTCTGGATGGACAGGAGGTCTGACATCCTGTCGGTAAACCCGGGAGCAAAGTTCTCTGGGTTGATTGCAACGAAACACTGACCCTAAAGAATAACAAAAAGGTGATGAGAACACAGCGTACTGAGCCAATACAAACACTCACAGAAACACAGAAAGAAGCGAGGAGATGTGATACGCCTTACGTCTCAATGTGTCTATCTTTTTAATTTGGGTTAACTTTCAATTCTCCCGAGTATCATTGTCCATGTTTTACTGTATTTTGCCTTCATTTTAAAATTGTTTTCTTTTAACCGGTTTTAATTTCTTGTCAGCTTTCATTCAAGGGAATCTCATTAGGATCACTGTAGAGGTTTTATCTTGTTCCGGCTTTATTTTAATATTATTTTTGATATTGTTGTTGTGTTTCTGTAAAGCACTTTGGGCTGCTTTGTGCATGAAAGGTGCTATACAAATAAAGTGTATTATTATTATCTTAAAGATAATGGCTTTCAAAATGGTGTTACAAAACACAACACTTTTAAATAAATACACCGTCATGTTTCTTTGCTCTAAAAAGATAATTGTACCTTCTTTGTTTCTGAAAAGCTTCAGCTAAACATCACTGTATTGTAAAGCTTTCTCTCTTGAACATATTCATACTTCTGGTAGTTTAGCCACTTTGACTAGAGGAACACAATATATGAACAATATAACCCTAACCCTCATACAAATTGATAAATACACAACATTTGAAGACTGTGTGCAAGTAAGTACAAGAATCAGTTATGATAGCTTGATAAATGTTCTTTAAAACACAACACAAGTCAGAAGATATTACTAACTAACGTACCAGGTTGGCAACACGGTCGGTTACTTTCCACGTCCGGACATGATTGCTGTACTGAGCACCGGCCAAAATGCCACAGAACACTTCCACCATCATCCCCAGTCCATAGCCTTTGTACCCTCCTGATGAAACAACACAGATACACACTCTTGATTTGTTATCTTACATAGAGAGGTTGAATGCATCAACACTCTGGAACACAATACCAATACAGATAAGGAATAACACCTCCTATATATTTAACCACTATCTTGAGAACTGGCTTTTAAGCAATCAAAAATGTGAACACTTTTAACTGTATCATACTAGTATTTCATCTGTTTGTCTGTTCCTATTTATTGTTGTCTGTTGCTGTGTGTATTTTTTGGTATTTTATTTCTCTAGTCTTGTTGTGGTTATTTTAACATCTTGCCAGCAGCAAACAGTTGAAAATTAGCCTGCTGGCTAACACGGGCACGTTTACAGCAATGTTGATCAATGTGCACTGTCCTTTAAATAACAAAACAAACACAACAAATACTTTATCATATAAAGGGGTGTATGAACAACGTCTTTCCTGATTCTGTTATTCCTAGATATTTGAACTGATAAGATAACAGAGGAAACATTTCCCGAGAAAAACTGAAATTACAGGATAGATAAATACACAATTTAAGGTAGCACTTTCTTAGGAGTGTGTTTGTAAATGATTGATTGAGAATTGTTAAGTGTTCATTTGAATGTTAATTTTGTGTTGTCTTAATGATGGTTGAAAACAGTATTGATTTTTGTTTCACATCTGTATTAGATTGGTTCTCAAATGAGATGAGTTGTTTGTTAATGTTGTTTTGTGTTTATGTAGCTATAGTATATAAATGTGTTTGACTGTATATGTGTGGACCCAACAAATAATGCTGATTCTACAAGGGACCCTAATAAAAAGTCATATTAAAAAAAAGTAATTGAGCCTGGGATTTTCAAATTGTGTGTTTTTTCAAAGCACAGATTTCTGTCAGAAAAAAGTGAAACATCAAGTTGAATTTGTTATCTGCACATAACTGACTCTATCAGAGTACAACTTTATTAGAAACTGTACAATTCTTGCTGATTGTGACATAAACTATGTGTGGAAATAAGGAAGGAGGATGGATGACAGGAGGATTATTTCACCATATCTAACCGTAGACAGAACAAAATGAAAAACAAAGGATGTTTCAGCAGACTTTCTTGTGTCTGACCTGTGGCCTCGCTGCCTCCGACGGGCACCAGCCCTCCTCCGCTCAGGACCCTCTTAGGGTCGGTGGTCAGTTTCCCCTGGGCGTCGCAGCCCCAGCCCTCAGGGATGGTGTCCCCCCGCCGCTCATGGAGCTCCACCTGAGCACCAAGAACATTTTGTAAGAAGACTTTAAGTATGTGGCATTTTAAGACCACAGTTAGAAAGTACACTTATCAAGCGCAAATGATATGATAGAATTTCAACCAACATTGAATTCAGAGCTCTCTTTTGCCTCTTTTACAAAATCTATTTTCATTTTAGATATCTATTTACAGTAAATATCTCACACATGTGGCATTAGTATATGGCTCCATTGGTCCAGGTAATGTCACAGGACCTTGACAAAGTATCATCTTTTTCCTTAAAATAACCCTTTTTTTAAATTACATTTTAAAACATGTAGTAAACTGAAGACCCCTGATAAAGATACATCATTTATGGATATGGATTATATTCATTGCACTAAAATAACAGTGCAGAGGAACTCATATAATGTACAATTAACTAAAATAGTGAATGCAATATCTACAGTTAGTTTGTGTAAAACTTAATTTTGGATGCGTTTTGAGTAGATTGTCGATGCTGATGTTATGTTTAGGACTTTTACAATGAAATCACAATACTTGGTCTGTCATTTCTTTTCAAACATTCAGACTACCTGATTTTAACGGACACAGTGTTTTCTTCTACCTGTCACTGCCATTGTTCTGTTAGCTATTGGTGGTTTTTCTTTAACCCTGGCTGTTTTTAGCAGAGAGAAGGCTTTCTGAATGAGGCAGCATGTGTTCAGGTCTTTGCCGTGCTCTTATTGTGTGATGACGTTAAACAATAACATGTAACTTAAGCACTGTATAATAATCCAGACTTTAAACAGTTTAATTTAGTTTGCTTTACATACATGATTGAAAACCTGAGATATAAGCTAACTGTAAAAAAACAACAACATCCCATTACCTCAAGAAGGCCTTGCGACCCCACGTGAAGCTTGAAAGTATTCTATTCTATTATATCAGGGTTCATACACTTTTTCACCAATGATTTCCAATGACTTTTCCATGACTTCTCAATGACCGTTACCTCATTTTCCATGACCAAAAAAATAAGGAAAATAAGGTCTGCATATGAAACATGTTGTGCCTATAAAACAAATCAAATAGTAGGCTTACTAGCTTCTCCACGCTAAAGCAACTAGTCAGGGAGGCAAACTCATCAGGTATGAAACAGGTGACAAGGATCCGAGCCCCCCGACCCCACGGAATATCGGCTTTAAAATGAGGAATAACAGATTATTTTAGCAGTCAGAACAACTAAGCAGCAGTGTTAATAATAACAGAAACAAAAGTCACATCTAGTAGAAACATATAAAGCATTTATTTTAATTGTGTAGCAGTCAGTTTATAATTCTGGCAGCACTGTTGAGCATTTTGAAAATGTATTTTCATGCCTCTGTGCAAGGCTTACTTTCTATCTTTATAGCCACTGGTGTAAAGTAACTAAGTTCATAAACTCAACAAGTACTATACGTGGGTACAATTTTGAGATACTTGTACTTTATTAAGTATTTCAATGTTTTGCTACTTTGTACTTCTACTCCTCTACAGTTCAGAGGTACATGGTGTACTTCTCCTCCACTACAGTTCAGAGGTACATGGTGTACTTCTCCTCCACTACAGTTCAGAGGTACATGGTGTACTTCTACTCCTCTACAGTTCAGAGGTACATGGTGTACTTCTACTCCTCTACAGTTCAGAGGTACATGGTGTACTTCTACTCCTCTACAGTTCAGAGGTACATGGTGTACTTCTCCTCCACTACAGTTCAGAGGTACATGGTGTACTTCTACTCCTCTACAGTTCAGAGTACATGGTGTACTTCTACTCCTCTACAGTTCAGAGGTACATGGTGTACTCTACTCCTCTACAGTTCAGAGGTACATGGTGTACTTCTCCTCCACTACAGTTCAGAGGTACATGGTGTACTTCTACTCCTCTACAGTTCAGAGGTACATGGTGTACTTCTACTCCTCTACAGTTCAGAGGTACATGGTGTACTTCTACTCCTCTACAGTTCAGAGGTACATGGTGTACTTCTACTCCTCTACAGTTCAGAGGTACATGGTGTACTTCTCCTCCACTACAGTTCAGAGGTACATGGTGTACTTCTACTCCTCTACAGTTCAGAGGTACATGGTGTACTTCTCCTCCACTACAGTTCAGAGGTACATGGTGTACTTCTACTCCTCTACAGTTCAGAGGTACATGGTGTACTTCTACTCCTCTACAGTTCAGAGGTACATGGTGTACTTCTCCTCCACTACAGTTCAGAGGTACATGGTGTACTTTTCCTCCTCTACATGTATTTAATCCCTTTAGTTACTTCACAGATGTGGATGAATGATGTGAAATATAATCAAGTGTTAAATCAGACTTTAGTTCCACCTGGAGTAAATCCACAAGCTACCCTGCAGTATACAAAGTCCTTCAAACTAGCTGCACCTTTACCAGCTTTGAGAACACTTTCATGATCAATCATTATAAAATATATCATATATATTATTCTGAAATGGACCAATCTGCACAACGACTACTTTTACTGTCGCTACTTTAACTATATGTTGATGATAATACTTTTGTACTTTTACTAGAGTAACATTTTGAATGCATGACTTTTAAGAATGCATCTATGATCTAACGTTCCGCTGCTCATTATAATAAAAAACTGAGCATTAAACAAACCATCATATGCTCTTACTTTGAAATCATGCGGAAATGTCGTCATCAGCGGGCCATCACGTGGTTTCCGAAAATAACCGAGTGACACGAGTAGATTTTAGCTGAGACCGGCGGAAAATATGTCTCAAAATTCCGTGTGTGTAAAAAGACGATCCACAAGGAGAAATGTGAGATCCATGAGCAGAGATTTGAGATCCGCAAGCGCATTTTTGGTCGACAAATACAAAATGGATTCACAAATGCCGGATCGAAAGTTGTAAATGTTAAAGAGATATTCACAGATCTTTTTTTAATTTGTGAACATATTTTGCGTATTTGCAGATTTTTACAGACGTTTTACACTTGCAAATGTAGGCTACTTGTGAGTTAGCAAATCTTTTAAATGCATTTGTGGATGGTGTTTTACATTTACAAATCACATATTTACACACAAATTATTTTGAGCTAGCTAGCTCAACGATTCCTTAAATGATATTCACATCACGCTCTGCCGCTCTGCCGCTCTGCCGCTCTGCCGCTCTGCCGCTCTGCCGCTCTGCCGCTCTGCCGCTCTGCCGCTCTGCCGCTCTGCCGCTCTGCCGCTCTGCCGCTCTGCCGCTCTGCCCTGAACACCTGAACGGCCCGTTCTAACAGCTGTTCACCAGCGGTGCAGTCTGTGCCACAGTAACTCCGCACAGTTAACGAACGCACCGTAGCTAATGTAGCTGACCCTCATCCCGGAGCAGCAGAGTTCAGCCGACAGGCAGGAAGACTCGAGCACACAGCTCGCGCTTCATATATTAAAAAATAACACCATGCGCGTCATGATGGCACATAACAGCTCGCGACCGCAGATTATTTCGGCGATTAGATCAAATGTAAATTATATTTGACGCAACTTTAGTTACATTTCCATGACTTTTCCAAAACTTTGGGAAAAATATTGTTTTCCATAACTTTCCAGGTCCTGGAATTGCATTTTGAATTTCCATGACTTTTCCAGGTTTTCAATGACCGTACGAACCCTGTTATATTCTCTGTATAAACCTGATCTTACCTTTCCAAGAGCTACTGCTGATGTGGCCATGTCCAGAACAAAGCTGTCTCCATCTTTAGCCGGAGCGGCCACGCTGATGGGGTTTGTGCCCAAAGTGCACTACAAACATCAGGTTCACAGTATTAGAATCAGAGAGAGCAGATGTTTATCAGCGCAGTAATACTTGATCAGTCTTATGGAGGTTAACACAGGGTAAAAGGTACAATGAAATGTATTGTACTAGAAAATGGATCAGCTCAGCCTTTAAAAGCACTGGTTGCAAAGGGCACAAGTCATATCAAGATAAAATATGACATGAAGTACAGTTTATTCAGTACAAAAAACGTACATCTTTACCACGTGTGGGAACCACCAGTGGAGACGTGTTGGTGAAGGACATGCCCTGCATTGGCCAGGTAAGACATGCAATTAAAAACCGTTAAGAAAATCACCTTCATAATAAAGGATATTCAATGTAAATTCAATTCATGAATGGCAGATAATCCTTTCACTCACAATCATGTTTTCCTTCAGAGCTTGCATTGAGTAATATCCAGCAATACCATAATGGTTGGAACCTAAAACAGAAAAATGCCATGTTATTTAGAGAGATTTGTCGACCATTTTAGTCTAGTAAAATTCTTCTGTAACAAACTTGGCAGTCAGACACTACAGTGGTTCAGGTTTCTAATTTTCTTGCACTTAATTTGCATGTTATATGAGCCAAACATGCAGGGGCGCCGCCAGGGATTTTGGACCCCATGGAAAGATATCACATTGGTTACTTACATTTTTTTTTCTTTATGTTCTAAAATAGTTTGGGCCCCTGTCAGTCACGGGCCCTTAGAATCGTCCTAACTTTTCACCCCCTTACGGCGCCCCTGCAAACATGTCTAAACTACAAACCTTTTAACAGTGAAGACGATCCTTTACTCATGCCGGGTGTTGAATCAAATACAGACCTACATTTGAAACCTGAGCATGTTGTTGCATTCATCATTTTACAAGTAACATCTGAACAGGTTTTTCCAGTGGACAAACGTTGGCTCTATCCAGTTTCATAATTATAAATGCAAGTTTCTACAGAACCTGACAAGTCCAGCAGACATAGCAGTTACGTTTTTAAAGAATAAGCCTACAGTTACAGCAACAACTCACCGTGTGCCACCACCCAGCCGATGCCAGCTTCTTTGGCCTTCTTAATGGCCAGATTCATGCAGAAGTTTCCCACCACAGGACCCAGCAGGTTTTCCCATCCACCAGAGCTGTGGCGGCGCTCTCCTTCTCCACCACCGGCTCACCGTCCTTGGCACAGATTCCGGTCGGATGTCCTTAACGTACATGTCTGTTGAAACATATAGAGACAGTGAGCATAACAAATGTCAATACAGGCACTCACACAAGTAGACCTAAAATGATACGTACCTCATCAGTTTTCTTTTATTAATTCCTGGCAGGCCCGGGATGGCCATCGGGAGGACCGGGAGGTTTCCCGATGGCCTGGCCTGCTAAGTGGCCTGCTGGCCTGAGGTTTTTTTTTGTTGCATGTATGTATTGTGAACGCAACGCTGCGCAAATGTGGGTCTGACTCTGCCTCACAGAGGGTGACTGGCTGTCTACATGATGTGGCCTGCCGACATGGCCACTTTCATACAGATCATACACTAAGCCCTCGATTGGTCTCTGTGTGTCATTCAAGCTTCGGGAGGGTGTGTGTATGTGTGGCGCGAGCGAGTGAGATAAAGCGCGCGCACCGGGTTCGGTTGTGTATTGTTGTTGTTAGCATCTGGTGTAGAGAGCTGCGCTAAACGGATATAAGGAGCTTTTTCAACAACAAGGTGGAGGAGAGTCCTCTCCTGTCAGACTGAGAGACTGATAACTACAGCTCAGGTGAGGTAAAGGACTGTTTAGATAGTTAACTTATTCCAAGTTATCTCAGTGGGTCTCAAACGGTTTGGTCACCATTTATGTAAACACATATTGGGGGGGGGGGGAGTGATGTTAGTAAAATATGCATGAATAAATTTAAAAAAACGTTAACTAGGTGAAAAAAGGTAAGATAAACTATTAAAACTTGTTGAGAGCTAAAACTAGTCTTTGCTGCTGCCTCAAAGAGGAACCAGGGGGAGACAGGAGAGGCTGTTCAGGAGCACAGACACACTCACAACTATAAATGAACCAAAAACAAATAGATAAACAAGTTTCAATGTTTTTTCATATTGGATATGGTAGCTATGTTATTGGTTATGGCCATGTTTTTATGATTTTTTTAAATATATACAGTTATGTTTCATATGGGTGTAGTCTCTTTATTTCCCTCTCAAAATGCACCAGATTGATGCATTTAAGTCCAACATTTAAAAAAAAAACTTACCTGCATTTTTTTAAATAGTAACCCATGTCCATATGTTTATTTTTGGGTAGTAGATTTAGAGGGCTATCACTATGGGCCGCAACGCTGTAAAAGTTGACAAATAAATCCAGCAAACTGGCACAAAAAACTGGTAGTGGCCTGGCTGGGTGTATAATTCCCGGCCTGATTTATTGTCCCAGTCCGGCCCTGATTCCTGGTATACGTAATACTGTACGTGCACAACATTTAACTAATGTGTAGGAGCCATATGTTAAAATGTATAATTTTATATATTATGTGTGTAGGCCTATATAGATATATTTGAACTGTGTAAACATTTGTTATTAATTAAGCTTAGCGCAAGTTCAAGCAGGAAGACCAAGCTCTTCATTCATATTACACGTTACTTCTTTACCCTCTCCTCCCTCATTAAGTGATCGGGGGCGTCACTCCCCAGCTAACCAATCACTCCTCTCTCCATTCTCACAAGCCTATCGTTGCACCCGCTAATCCCTTTATATCTGCTCTTCCCTGTTGTCAGCTGTCATTTCAGGTGACAATAGCAACAGCAGCAGGGCTCCGTCCCAGCTCCATAGCCTACATTCATCAGCTCCGCAGTCTCGAGGATTAAGCTACAGGCGGCGTTCCCCAGTCGGCTAGCGGTTCCAGCCGGCCACCCCGCAAACCCGGACGCGGGAGGAAAGGACAAGAATATCGGGCTCCACGGAAGTTCCTCCGGCTAATGGAAATGGGCTACTTCACGCAAACAATTGACGCACGCCTTCAGTCTCTCGAGAGGGCATCACTGGCATCAGGGCCGCTCAAATGCGGCGCTTCCGGCCTTCACGCGGAACGGGCCCTCATCGCATGCGAAGCTTTACCCATTTCTGGCTTCAACCACAACCCCCCTTGCAGGCAGGCAGGCAGGGCTTAAACTACTTTCCATTGAAGCTACTTCTCCTCCCGGCTCAATAGCCATGGCTACTGAGCACTTAGTGTCCAGTACTGCAGTAGCCTGCCCTACTGGACACTAAGTGCGTCATAGGCGGACTAGCAGGTTCATTGCACAGCCCAGGCACTCGCCTCTTTTCCCTGCGCCTCACCCCTAAAAACAGGCGTCAGGGTAGCGCTGGCAAGAGGCAGTTTGCAACAAATTCACGAGATGTTCGTTATGCATTACTGCTTTAGTTCAGGGTATAAGGTGAGTTCCAGGCATGTCGGGTGTTACAGTATGTAGTTTCAGTACACTTTGCCGTACGAAGTAACGTAACGCATTACTAATGCAGTTCGGGTAACTACTACCCGTTACAATGCTCAGTAAGAAACGCAGTTTCAAGCTTCAACACAGTCACGGATGCTGCCCCATCCGTCGGTTTTGGGTTTCTTTCAGGGAGAAAGAGAAGTTCATGTAAGATGATAGAAGACAGTCTAATCACCCAATCAAGCACATCAGCATCTATGTCGCACGTGGTGTAAATAAACTGCTTATTAAGCTATAGTCCTATATCATGGGTCATGTTTCAGCATTTACCTAAGCATACATCATCTTATGCTACGCATATTGCATTTCATTTATATTTTGGTTTCATGCTCACATGGCTTACGATAAGCCAGGTTATGATATTCATGCACACTGTACTCAAGCTAACAGCTGCATTACATTGTCTACATCTCCCTCTTCGCCCGGACATCGGCTCGCGCCGGCAATCCAAGATCTCTCCAGTTTACTATGGTAAACATGCATATAACTGTTGGTGGTGTCTTAATAGCATTTCAGGGCTTCGTTCAGGATAGGTGCAGCAACACTGCCGCCAATCAAGGTATTTCTTCCTCATCCCTACAACAACTTGGACGGTGGTCCTCCTCTGCCTTCACATCCTACATTCGCCCGGACATCAGCGCCGTGCGGCCATCCGAAGATCTATCTAACCTGGTATTTATGCATTTAGTGGTAGTATTCATTGCGTTAATGTTTAACCCTGCATCGCAGGTCATCGACCATCGTGTCAGCAATGTTTAGTGGTAGTGTTCACGTAAGCCCGGCACTGATTCCGGCCGTCGACCTCCGGGTCAGCATCTTATGATGTACAGTAAGCCCGGCGGCGATTCCGGCCGTTGTTTAGTGGTAGTTCGTAAGCCCGGCAGTGATTCCGGCCGTCGACTCTCGGGTCAAGCATCTTATGATGCACAGTAAGCCCGGCAGCGATTCCGGCCGTTGTTTAGTGGTAGTACGTAAGCCCGGCACTGATTCTGGCCGTCGACTCTCGGGTCAAGCATCTTATGATGTACAGTAAGCCAGGCAGTGATTCCGGCCGATTGTTTAATCCACATGTTAATCTCTCATTTCATCCACAGATCACCGCAGTCAGCCCACAAGGTAAAGAAACTCATTACAGCTCAGTATGTCATACTTCACTTCTTTGGGGGTTTCTTGGGAGCGGTTCTTCCCCCCTGAATGACAATCCGGCAAACCAGGGCCTAATCGCCAAACACCATTGCATTCTCCTGTCTCAATTCTGGCAATCATTATTTCATTCATATGACGTGTCCCAGTAATAAATATGTATTTCATACATCAACGTCTCTCCTGATTGAAGTATTATTATATCATTTATTTAAACCATCCGTCGTAAAATGTACGTCATAGCCGACTGCAGCTGCTGGTAATTAGAAGTGAGAAGGAGAAAAGAATCACGGAGCAATATAGTTTTTTGACCTTTGAAAATAATGTGTTTGTATTGATACCTATATGTATTAAGTAAAGAGTCAACCAAACTTTCCTGAGACGTATTTTTATTGGAGTCAAGCTTATTGCTACTTGTGGATATATCGGTTTTTGGATTAGACGGAACTACCATAATGCAAAATATTGGGTATTTAAAGACAAATTACTACAGTGATTTCAATTTAGAAAACTGCAATTTACCACCTTTTTTCCCATTACAACTAAAATGTTGCTGCCACCTTCAAAACAAGCAAACATGCAGATAGAGCAATAGATTTCCGGCGCCCCACTGACCCATCCGGTTGAGTCCGTGGCTGTAGTGGCCCCTGTGGTCCCCCTCCACCAGCACCTCGGCCAGGCTGCGGGCATGATGCTGCTTGGTGCCCACACCTGTCATACACCGCTCGATGAAGCCTTGCACCTCCACCTTGCTGATCAGACATCTGCAAAAGGTGAACATTTCAATATCAGATGATTAGTTCCTTGTTTGCTAATTTCAAACTATCACTCAGGCGGTGATGTCTTCAGTGTGCATGGTAAAACAACAAATATTATAAATGTTGGATTTTGACAATAGTGCTTTGAAAATATTTTTAACAATTGTTGCTTTCAACTAGAACATTTGAGTTTTAGGATTGTAAATACATGTTATTTGCGTTTCAATGTACGACTGCAGTGCAAATTGTGTTTAAGTTGGTTAATAAGTATGACAATAGGCTGTCTGCTCACTTTTTCATCTGATAGTGAATGGGAAATCTAATTGTACTGACAAACATCAGTCTAGTTTGACAATAAAGAACCTTGACTGAAACCAGATGAACAGAGAAAGAACAGCACAGTCTGACTTTTGGCCTGAAAATCAAACTGAAATCCAAACCTTTTGCAACGCTGAAAGTCCTGCAGGGATGAACCCTTTAACCCACATTTTGACAGAATATGCCACTGTAGGCCAATTCAAAGTTTCAAGTCCACATCTGCAATAGTCATGACACAACCTGTGACAATATAGAATGTAAATCAACGTGTAGGTCAGTAAAGCTCTGCCAGTATATCATTCAATTGTGTCTGCAATCGAGTACAGATGAACAAATCTGATCCTAGAACCACTGTTTGCAATCTTGCTGTTGACTTTGCGAACAGGCAGGACATTTTGTACCACATGATGTTTGGAAAAACTGCCGTCTCTCCCCCACAGAGTGTTACACTATAAACACTGGAGACACTGCCTCTGTTGTTGTCACAGTTTATGTCATGTGACTTGCAGGAAACTGCAACGATTCCACAGAATAAGTGAATAAGTGTTGTGACTCACTATGATGCAAACATGTTGCATGACTAATCAGAACCAGATTAATAATATTTTCATTAACATTGTGAGAACTCATCGTTAATGTTTTCTAGACTGTATACTTAACACATTACGTTCTACTTCCTGTCTTCCTTCTCTATTGTCCTTCTCATTCTCTACTCCTCCCTTGTTTCCTTCATGTACTTTGGGGTATTTGGTGGTTAGAGAGTGGAAAGTTAAGGAATGCACCGTGGGTCCAGATAATAGACTGTATCCAGATGCAAGATGTGGAGGAGTCTCACTTCCTCTCCACATAACTGTTTTTCAAAAGGGCTGTTAAAGAAAATAACTGATGCAAGTCAACTCTTTTGCTCCCCAGAAACAGTTGTGTTAGGGTTAACATGATTAATCCCATTTCCAACTTAAACCATTGCCAAAACTGCAGCACGAGATCCACTTTCTGTTTCTTCAATCTAGAGTTCATGTTAGGGACAATTTGTGAATTGCTCAACAGTCTTAATGCATTGAGAAAACAGCTTAAATCAAGTTGTGACACAAACATGTGGTTTTTGTTTATGTGTGTGTAGTAGACCCACACTTCATAGCCCCCCAACACAATCCATCCCACCACTAACTGCAAAAACATATCACAATTGTATGTCTATTTCATTTTAAATCATCAAAACAACACACTGATTTCTAGCATGTTGCTGCCCTCAAAGCATGGAAAATGCTGCCTTAGAAGAGAAGACCAAAACAACTGTTGCAGTGTGTCTGGTGTTTGCTAAATATGAAACAACAACTATGCATGAAGAAATTGAAACCTTTAAAGCAGGGGTCGGCAACCTTTTTGATATGAAGTGCAATTCAAAAAAAATTATTTTATCAGCGTGCCGACGATCATGAATTATCAAAGGGGGGGGGGGGGCGAAGAGCTCGACGCTCGTGAACTGTCAACAGGAGGGCGGGGGAGCCTCGCTGCGGGGAAGCAGTGTGTGGACCTGTCAGCGCAACTTAACATTATAGGGATGCTCCGATTGGATCGAGTGGGCGGGGCCTATGGGGATCATTTAAAGCAGGGGTGGGGAACCTCCGAAAAAAATGAAAGAAATCTAGACCGCAAAATAATTAAACAAGTGAGGGCCTGTTTTTCCTGGCCAAGGTCAGGGTCCTTGAACACAACACAAGCCTAACGTGTCATCACGTGGTATATGTCTCGTCTGACAGGGGTGTAGTTCTGACGGGGAGCACCAGAACGCAGCTCCGCTCCGGCACTTCCAAGAATGTCAGTACCCATAAGGAGCCGTACACATGCTGCAGTTTTTGCGTGGCTGTGTTTTAGTTGTAAACCCAGTGGCGATCTGTCATACTGATCATACAGACAATAACTTTGTTGTTATTAGCATTTGGTTAGCTAGCTATGCTAACGAATATAAGAAGCTTTTTCTCCAACCAGTGAGGTAAAGGCACATCTTTATATGATCATTATAGTTATAAAAAAATAAGAGAATAAAGTAAACAGGTATAAAATACTATATGACAGTAAAAAAAAGTTGTTATTAATAAACAAGAATACCGTTTGAAAGGGGAGTGATTTGTAAAATACCCATAAAGAAAAGAAAATCTGCTTACAGTTCTGTTTCATATGGGTGTTGAGAGATGTATCCATAGATCTCCTAATGTTGCTCTCAAAGTGCACCAGATTGATGCTTTTAACTTCAACATTTAAAACAAATCTTCCCGGGGGAGCATGCCCCCGGACCCCCCTAGAGGAGGTTAGTTCCCCCCCACTTAAATCATGTTCACATGGATAGGAAACTAAATACATTTGCACACATATTGTGTCCATATCTTTCTGTTTGGGTGGTCATGCCACAACCGTGCACGTGCATGCATGCGTGAGTCATGGCAATATATCTGGATTAAGAGGTTGCTTTTTCTTTGCACAGCATGAAAGAAAGGCCAAATGAATGGGCTGTGATTTTAGTTTTTTTGAGCAGAGGTCAATCATTTGTACGGCCCTCGGAGGATGTTGAAAACATTGAAATGGCCCTTGAGAGGAAAAAGGTTCCCCACCCCTGATTTAAAGTTATGTTTAAAACTCAGTTAATGGGGCTCATTCACTGGAGCTTCCAAAAACAACAACCAACATAATTATTACATTCAAATGAAGTAGCCTACATTATTCAAGTTTACAACTTTGGATAATAACACGGGAGAAATGAGCGGAAGCGCTCTCTTTTCCTCTCTCTCTCCCGACAGCCTGTCAGTAGGCCTATCTCATGCAGCTCACTGATCCAGTAATGAATGACCCGACAGTGAAGAATACATATATTTATAACTTCTTTAGCTTGTTCCAGAGGCAAATAACATAGCTAAGTGTGTTAGGTCTAACTCTTGTGTGTTTTGCTCCGCTCACCGGTCCGTCACAGCGGGTGGAGCTGCAGTAGTTCTGCTTCACACACGTTGCATACCGCTATTTTATTTATTCTTATATTCGGACACTTTAAAATACTGCCAGACCGGTGAAGCCATTTTGGAGAGCTTGTTTTGCCGTGCACAGAGAAAAGTGTCATGTATTTTACGTCATGCGATCGGCTCTCGCGATCGGCATTTTTAGAGAGCACCGGCCGACCGATCGGAGCATCCCCTAACTTACATGATGCCGAATTTAACAAATACATTTAAATAATTGGTTATAACAAGCATAATAATAATAAGGACGATCGTCCGTTCTGTGATTCTCCAGAGCACACATGGCCAGTCCGCCCCTTTGTAGCATATTATTTTGATGAGAGATGAGCAGATTGCCACTGGGCTTTCAACTAAAGACACAGCCACGCAAAAACTGCGGCATTTGTACAGCTCCTTATGGGTACTGCAATTTGTGAAGTGCTTTCCTCCGTGGTGAAACGATCCGCACTGCACCACGGAGGAAAGCGGCAGAAAGTTGCCTGGAGTTAAAGAGAGCGGGGCTGCGTTGCGTGCATGGCTTCCTTCTGCAGGTAACGGGGAGACGCGCTCTGGCAGCGGTCTCGTTCAGGATCCGAAAATACAATTTAAATATTTTCCACACTTATTCCTAGTGTGCCACTGGTTACGGTGCCGCGTGCCAGTGGTGGCACGCGTGCCAGGGGTTGCCGGCCCCTGCTTTAAAGGATTACAGATCAATTACAGATGTCAGCCAAGTGCAAGTATTGCAAAGTCTGTAATCAGCAGTGGATCAAGCTACATTTTGAGACATAACCATAGGACATAACACATACTTTTTCCTATCCAAACTTTTAGCAAATCTCGTCTCTTTCATATTCAAATATCTTAACTTAACACCAGCTACCAAACAATACTTTTGATCTTTACCCTATGTTTTAAGATAAGATAAGATGGTACTTTATTGATCCCAATTTGGGAAATGTTTGTGTTGCAGCAGCATAAAAGACATGGCATTGTACAATAAAATGTCAAAGACTAAACATAATCAAGAAAGAAGAAAATATACATGTTGAATTTAACCAGGTATTATATATATATATATATATATATATATATATATATCATAAATATATGACGGATGGAATATTAGTTTTAAATATTGAACAGATTATATAAATGTAAAATGTTCAATGTGGTTTTATTCCAAGAAGCTGGTCTCTCTCCTTATGAGGACACACTTAAACCATGACCGGGTTGAATGGCAGGCATACAAGTAGAATAAACATCAGCAGATCCACATGCATGGAGGAGGCCAAGGTGGAAACTTATGTAATGTATTATGCAACAAAGAGGTAAAAACGTAACGTACAATGGTTGCATAATGGAAGCGTGACACCTTCCAGTCCAAAGTAAGAGTCACCAGGGAATGTCAGCCTGTCACAAGGTCACACTGAGGCCATGCATAGTATTTGTATAGGTGCTACAGTAGCCTACAGTAAATGGAATGATATAGCATTTGAACTATAGTTTTATTTTTTATGTAATCGTTTATTTAGCAGGGACAATGCACAGTAATGAACACTTAAAACATTAAAATGTGTGAAGCGTAACATTACATTTTACAAACATAGCAAAAACAAAATTCATGATATGCCAGAAGTGCAAGAGAAGATTCCCCATGTGTTAAAGTGTATTTAGCGGTGATCGCACATCTGTTTGTTACACAACCATTCTTTGAGTTGACCTTTAAGCTATTGAGAGTGGGACAATCCCGTATCTGTTGGGAGGCTGTTCCACAATGAGAAATGGAAAGGACATTTTGTCCAAAAGTGGTTGATACGGTGGACTTCAGTCTCCTCGGTTCTGACCTAGTGCAGCGTCCAGTGTCTTTTTTGTGAATGAATTCCCCTAAGGGGGGCATTAAGTTGCCATTGTCCATAGCATTCCTGTTTATATAAATGAGGTACACTTGAACATAATTCACATTGAAAGAAAGACAGCCACACATAATCTGTCTTTGATTACATTTCTTTTGGAGCATTTATGAAGGGTAAAAGAACAGGGAGGCGTGTTCTTTGCAGGATCATGTTACAATGGGAGATGCGTGTCAAAGAAGGTCAATACACTACAGGACAAACATCCATGGAAACAGATCCATGTAATAGCTGTTGGTTTTGATGCATTCAAGAACTGCTCCAAAGTATTTGTCCCTAAGGTAGAGCATCATAAATCACAAGAAGAAGGAACTTAAAAACATTTTAATGGATGTGTGGGAGGGTTAAATATGTGCTTTTCTGCCAAGCTTTCTGGAATAAATAAGACAGATCTACTAGAGAAAGCACACACACTAGGATAATGCTGCAGCTGTTCTTTTGATATATTTTAGAGTAAATGTTTAAGTTAAAAATGTTTTTTAAAACTGAGGTCTGATGGGATGAAATGTGATGTGGTAGAAGGAGTCCGTTAAGAAGCCTCTGTCATCTATCTGCTCAGGTAAAGCCTTACATTGAAAAGTGCACATACATACATAATAGATAATACATAATAAAAAGCACATCAATAAAACCATATAAGTGGCTTGATTTGGTTTCATTAGGTCTTTGCAAGTCGGCCAAATATAAAATGCAAACAGAGTGGATGCAATAAATGTGTTTTGCAGGAAGCATGCTTTTCTTTTGTGCAAGAAGCCAGTGTTAATGGGCAGGTATAGTGCCTCAAATGCACATTATTTCCGGACAGTTTAAAATGTTCCATGTTACTTTGCTAACCTCTTTTTAGCAACCCTTTGCCCACGTGAATTGTCAACGGGGGTGCTAGTGCATTTGTCAACGGGGGGGGGGGGGGGGGGGGGGGGTGCTATAGTGAACTGTCAACGGGGGGAGAGCCTCGCTGCGGGGAAACGGTGGAACTCTGTCGCGCAACTTCAATGATGCCGTTTAAAAACATAACAAATTAAGGGCGGTATCAGCAAACGGAGCCGGCCGTCAACGGCCCTTGACGACCGGCCTGTCTGTGATTATCCAGATTCTACAGATGGCCCAGTCTGCCCCTGGGAGCAGCAGTGGTGGTGGTGGTGGTTAGAAATACTTAATTGAGAGTGCATTCACTAACATTCTCAAGTGAAAGCCCAGCAGGAAGCTACATGCACTTTAAACTAAATACATGCCTTCTCTTATGCAGAAAGAAGTGAGTGAAAGTTGTGCAAGAACTTCAACTGGAGACTCTTACTTGCTCATGTTGACTTCCGGCTGGTTCTCCTTCAGGTTGAGGGGTGTGTTGCTTTTGGCTCTGGTGGTGCTGAGCTGCTGGTGTCGCTGGTCCAGGAGCCTCAACTTGCTCTTAAAGTCCCGCAGTGTCAGCAAAAGCGAAACGTCAAATCCTCCAGGTATCCTTTATTGCTCTATGGGCGTGTTGGAGGAGAGGCTTTCTGGGGGAGTTTCTCGGCGCGCCAACGCAGTCGCAGCCTTGTTCTGGAGAGGTAAGTCATGGAGCTCCAGGGCGGTACATTTATCTGCTTTCACATGTTGTACAGTCGAAAGTACAGAGAGTACATTTTGTACTGAATTTGAACACTGCCTGACAAAAATACCACGCAATATTTAGCCAACACAAGGAAGTGTACTGAGAGGCTACTCCCATTTCCTTGTCTTTGTGATGTAGTAGACCTGCAATTATATGACCTTTCTAAGCTTATGCAAATCAATAAAATAGTAATGATTAATCGATCAATAAAATAAATAAAAGCTACAATAAAATTTACTTGTGGGTTTGTCGCCACTTTTTTAGTTGTTTTCAGACTCTCGAAAATCTAAATAGGCCTACACACTTTTTGTTCTTCTTTTTTTCAGAGTCTCTGAACAACCCTAACCCTAGGATTAATGCTTGTTATTTTGAGAAATGAAAAAGTTCATGTGGAGGAGCCAGCTACCCGCTATTAAAAAGTGGCTACAGATAACTCACAACAAGTACAAATGTTGTAGGAAAAATATATTAGATACAAAACTTGCATCATACTGTAACTACAAGACTGCACATGTGGAATATTCTCCTGAGTGTTTCTTAGTATTCATTGTAGATTAATGCATAACACACCCATCGAAAGAGATACTGGCTGCAGAATATGCAAGGAAAAAAATCATAATATGTAAGCAATAAGCATCAGTGGATGGACCTCTTTTTGCAGTGGCACGTCCTTTAGTCAATGACAGGCCTACATGTGTGTTTGAAAAGCAATACAAGTCTGGTTCTTCTAACCAATAAGAGATATGTCTTAAGGCTAAGGCGTTGTTGTTGTATAAGAGACTGAGAAAGAATATGGATGGTGGAATCCATCTTGAAACTGAACACCAACATTTCAAAACATATGCACAGTGCCACAGACAATTGCATTTCAGTTGATAATGCTATTGCTTTTTTGAAAAGTATGAATAGTACACTATTTAAATATATAGTAACTTACACGTTATAGTACTGCTTTCAAATGTAAAGCTCCAAACTATGAGTATAAACGGTATAAACCTGTTAAAGTACTAAATTGATAGATTTAAAATGTCAATGCATTCATGTATTTATCATAATATCGATGCAGCTGGTAAAGGTGAGGCAGATTTTAGTTGCTTTATGTTTTGGAGAGTATGTGAATTTCCTCTCTTGGATCAATAGAGCCTTTTTTAACATACAACCTATTTGTTGATTATATTTTGTATTATTAATTTAAAGCTGCAGATTAACTAGCTATTCACATTTTTAAATAAATGAAATGGCTAAAAAGAACTGATGTATTGTGAAATATTTAATTTATTGACTTTGTTACTTTCCAACACTGTTGAGGACTACGTCTCTCATTCTCTTTCATTTATGACCGACCTGAACAATGTCTTTCCCACATGCAGTGTTACATCAACAGTACAGGATGTTTATATCATCTAAAGCACTGTATAGTCAACAGAGGACTTACTTTTGCTTTCAAAATCTGAAGAATAAAAAAACGATATTCCCTGATTCTGAACAGCCGACATCATGCATAACTGCCTTAATAATAATGATTCTTATAACTTTTTACTGTATATATTTGTATTGTACATTATCCTTATTAGAATAAAAGTCTTTAAAATGTTATGCTGGTACAAAACGACAACTGCATCCTAATGTATTTTAAGGCATTTGACACATATTGACATCTTTCTTTTAAATTCAACAGGCCACAAGGTGTCGGCCTTGGCAGTAAACCGACTCAATGTTTAACTTTCATCTGTTTGTCGTATTGCAATTTCTGACAGAGAGGAGATAGCGTCTTGTCTCTGCAGTTTAGAACATATTTCAACTGTAGGAGATTTTAAACGCCAACCTGCTTTAAAAAGTAAAGTTCTATCTGAAAAGAAAAGATAATATGCCTCTGGGTTGTTTTTCCAGAGTCTTAAATTGTAGGCCCCGTTTTTCGTTGTTTCATTTTGGGCTTATTTTTGCCTTGGGACAGGGACAAAGGGCGTGGAAACCAGTTTAACTATATCCCACTTACTCATTGTGAAATGAAGGAAATGTCACCTGAACTTCTGATTCTGATGTCAGTACCAATCAAAATGTAGTAGCCGTTTAAAATGTTTCAGCAACTTTTTACATTTTGGAGCTGCAGTGCAACATGCATCTAATGTAAAGACACATCTTCTGGATAATATGTTCTTTTGTATAATCCAAGTAATTCAACCTGGATCCAATTTAACATGTAGAGCTGGGAAAATACCATTAGTGACAGAGGAGTAGAGGCAATTTATGTTCAAATTGATTGTGGGAATAAAAAGGTTGATGTTTTCTGCTCCAAGGAGTTGTCAGTATCAAAGTTGTTAAGTTATAATGCGATTAGCTTCCTATTTTTATTAGGCATTTAACTGAGAAGAGGTTAGCTAATGCAAAAATATAAATCTACTGAGTTTCATGATAATCCACCGTAAATATCAGCAAGTTAAAAAAACAACTTTTCAAACAAAGGATTAGAAGGAAAGATAGCTACAATTGTGAGGAAGGATTAATGTGTGTGTGTGTGTGTGTGTGTGTGTGTGTGTGTGTGTGTGTGTGTGTGTGTGTGTGTGTGTGTGTGTGTGTGTGTGTGTGTGTGTGTGTGTATGTGTGTGTGTGTGGAGCAGAGCCCCGCCCTTCAGAAACAGAGCGGAGGACAGAATGTGAATGCGCAAAGCAATGCAGTGGACACTAGGGCTGCTCGATTATGGCAAAAATCATAATCTCGATTATTTGAGTCAATAATTGATATCACGATTATTAAAAACGATTATCCATTTACTTTGAAAACATCAATTTATTGGAGAAAAACTATTTGAACAGTATGTTTTTAACAGTTGATTACCCTGAACTTTAAGTATAACTCAACTGAAATTAATAATAATAAAAAAATAATCTTTATATTTCGATTACGTTGTTTTCGTAATCATTGCAAGCCATAATCGTAATTGCGATGAAAATACGATTAATTGAGCAGCCCTAGTGGACACTGAAACATGCACATACATTGGATAAATAACATAAGCGCTTAGTTTATGTAATAAAAGAGCACACGGAAAAGTGACCGTAGATAGATGACTTCAGTTGCGATTTGGCGCTATATATAATATATATTAACCCTCCGGTATCACTGTGGACATTTTTTTCCCGAATGACTAATGTGTGACTTTTTTGTTCAATCTGATTTTGTGCAAAAACTAATAATGCAAAAAAATCAATTTTGTTGCTAATCTTTGACATATCCAAGACTGTGATAAAAAAAAGAGCCAGTCCCCAGATATGTATTTTTTGGAAAATAACTAATTTCCTCTGTTTTCATCATGAAAAAAACCAGTGGTTTCATGTATTCAAAATGGCATTTAAAGGGTTAAAATCCTGAAAATGATTACATTTTTGGTATTTTATATTAGGGCGGAAGTTGCTTTAAAGATTTAACCCAAAAAAGTTGTGAAAAAAACCTTTTAATATAATGTTTTTATCAAAGTCTTTTGCAGTGGACATTTTTGTCTCGAATGACTAATTTGTGTAGTCCAATCGAATGATACCGGAAAAGACAATGGTAGTGGAAACACTGAGAACATAAGATAGCTAAAAGAGAATAGATGGGTAGCTTTACAAAAATAAATAACATTTGTATACATAAAAATGTCATAATAATTTCTCTGCACTACTATGAGTAATACCCAAAGGCAAAGCTAGGAAACAAATACCTACAAATACTTACTAAGATGGAATAAAATGTAACACAAAAGCGTTTTTGTGTTTGTACAAAAACAAATATTTTCTCTAAAAGTCTTTCAATGATAGCATGAGATTTCTTCTTGGATCTTAAAGACAAATCAGTCTCAAAATGTCTGGAAGTTTACGTTCTAATCTGTCTTTGTTTGCTCTCTTTTCCTGTAGGTCCAGACGCTCCGATCCACTCTCTCCCTGAAGGAGCGCCCCCTGCTGGCCGACAGGACAACAACAGCCTGGATCCACCCAGAAAGGTAGATGGAGTGTGTGTAGAAGTGTGTGTGGGTGTGTTCATCTCACTGTGTAAAGACACCGTTTCATGGGGAAGAAATCCCAATAATAACATCTCAACATGTGTGTGTGTTCAAGTGTCTCCATGTGTGTGTGTGTGTGTGTGTGTGTGTGTTCAAGGGTCTCTGTGTGTGTGTTCAAGTGTCTCTGTGTGTGTGTTCAAGTGTCTCCGTGTGTGTGTGTGTCATTCACCCTATATGTCATTGAAAACCTCTTATTTGTGACTTCTTTTGTTGAACTTTCCTTGTAGAAGAATGCAGCCGGGGATCAAGGCAAAAACAAAGGGGGGAGGAAGAAGAAGAGGGAGTACGTACCCCAGAGACGGTCTGGAGGCTACGCTGTTCTGCTCACACTTTACAGAGTGTCTCAGGTACGCCTTCCTCCTTCACATCTACACAAAATACCTCCATGTTTTGCATCGTGGCTTCATTTGATGTCTCTCCCTCCAGATCCCAGGCAGCAAAGGCTACATGTTTAAGATGGAGCTCCAAGCAGAAGCTCAGCAGCTCTGCGATAAGTCCTTCTCTGTGGTGAGTGGAGTATTCGTTACAACAAGTGCATTTAAACCCGCTTATTACACCCAAATAAATTGAGGATTTGACACGACTAATGATTTTAAACATGATTTCATATATTTGAAAATTATCGTTTTGCTTTCGCTAAGATAAAATTGTGGCGTAGCAACTTAACTTAAAATGACGACGGCACTAATCGAGATGTTCTGGTGCATAACTGTCAGTCTTTTACCTCCTTTTATTTATTTTGACATTATTAAACACCAATATGTAGAAGTATTGGATCATTGCGTGTGGGCTGTAACAGTTTAACACGGGTAGACACTCTGAAATGACCACGAAGCATTATTATGACACAGAATAATGAACTATTTAAATCAAATCAAGTTTTATTTATATAGCACATTTTCAAAACGATTTTTGGTCAAAGTGCTGTACATACAATCAAAATACTTTACAATAAAAACACTTTACAATAAAAACACTTAACAACAGCACAAATAAAAAAATCACACCTATTCTGTGTGTTGACATTTACGACCATCCCTGCTTCTAATCTCCCGTAAGAAATGTGATAATGGAGTCGTATGTTGATACTACCAGGTTTTATGGCCTGACCTGGCGGGCACAGGGGGGGTTTTACGACTGTGAGAACGCGGGCTTCTAAGCACCACGGATGTCAGAGACATCTCCATTGTTCCCAGGTGTTCACGTACCGTCCCCCAATATGTGGGTTGACTCTCTGTATACTAGTTAAAAGGTCTACCAAGATGCAAGGCGGATCAGATTTGACATGGCAACCCACCCGTGCAGTCAGAACCATTGACTGTGTGACTTGTAATGTGAATTTCTCCGGCCGATGCTTGTATTAAAGATCCGTGTTTGACATCAAAGCTCCAACTCTCCTCGTGTCTCTGAGTCCTGACTTTCCATTGCTGCAGAAGTTTCCCTTACAACACACAGGGAAATGTCAGGAGTCGTGCTCCGCTCAGACTAGAAGGCCAGAGAGAAGAAGTGAGTCTTTAGTGTAGATTTAAAAACCCCTAGGGTCTGGGCCGACCTCACATGGCTAATATTAGTCATATATGTGCAGTAAGGTATTCTATGCCAATACCAAATATCACAATAGACTTATTATGTTATTACTTATTTCTTTTTATATTGTTTTTCTCACAGAAAATCATTTGTGACCCGGGGGGTATACTACGAAGCAGGATTTTCGCTTAGCCGGCTAACTTCAGGGAAAACTCCGGCTTTCCGGTCCTACGACGCTGGTTCTCTTTTTAGCAGGCTAGATCTCCATGGTAACTTATGCTGTGCGGCTAACCTCGGGAGCAGGTTAGGTTGCAGGCTAAGAGATCAACTCAGTGAAAGCACTGCCTGCTGACCAATCAGAGCTCAGTGTGCAGAGTTTAAAGCGATCAAGTCATATTACAGGAGAAAGGAAAAACTGCCGTTGCAGGAAAGACGGCCGGCAAAAATCACCGACTGTGTGAACGTGAACATTAATAGAATATCACCTCCATCTTCAGAGCAATCTGACTATTATAACATTAGCGTTAAGAAAGCTTACTTAAATATCTGCCACAACATAAGTAACCGGATCAGAGTAACATTAAGTACAGTCCGCAGCATATCACATCTTAATGTATCATATATTTCCTTATCTGAGTCAGCTGAGCCGTATCTGGCCGTGCAACACTCACAGTGTCACATACTGTATGCAGAAGTATTATTTTAAGCAACACATTAAGTTGACGAAACACTCGAGTCAAATGTAATTAAAGTCAGATCGTGTCTTAGACGGGGCAGTGATATCATAAACCTGTTAATGTACGCATTCAAACACTTGTTCTGTTACCAGCTGTATTCACCTTGCAGGTGCAGCTATGTGGCTTTGATCCTGGATAAAGTGTTTAAGTCATGGATGTTTAAAGTTTAACTTCTTCATATGTCTAATATTATAGTTGACTTTTCATTCAGGAAGTATGACGCTGCGCTGTCAGTACGCTTCTCCATGTTTGTGATTGGTCCAATGCTCCAAATACCACCCCTTTCATGTGAACGCGCACCTAACTAGATAGGACACGGCTGGCTTGAGCGATCCACTTGATAACCCGCGTCGTAGTACAGTTTAGCGAGAGCGCGTATGTTTTGGATTAGGCCAACCGGCTAACTCAAACATATCCAGGTTAGGTTGAACCGGCTTCGTAGTACAGGCCTCTGCTCTATCGAAATCAGTCGGAAGTCGCAAAGTCTCATTTCAAAATAAACGTGGATTTGCGTAAAAAAAAAAGTTTTTCGGGGTTCGGGTGTTTTGTTTGATTTTAAATAAACAAAGTGTTGGCTTTCAGAATATGAAACTTTTATTTCCAAAATCACACGATAAATACATGTTTGAAGCTTGTAAAGGGAAGACGACAGCTCTCCCTCGCCACTCTGCTGTTCCGCAGCGCCGCCCCCCCCCCCCCCCCCCCCCCCCCCCCCCCTCCCTCCTCTGACATTATGAATGTAAGGTTGTAGCTTGCTGGTAAAAACATGTGTAGCCCCTTGATGCCATGCTAAGACAATCTTAATAATGTTTAAAAGTCACCGTTGAACCTAAATCTCTTCGTTGACATCATCCAGATTATTTAGTAGGAGGTCATTTTCCGCTTTCAAACCATCCAAGTGATCGAATGTCACCACATGAGACCGACCCTTCTTCAAAACTCCAAGCTCTAGATTAAGATGGAGGTGTGTGGCGTAGTGGGTTAGTGCCTAGGTGTTGGGGTCAGGGGGTCACAGGTTCAAACCCCACTGCAGTCAGCATGTTGTTGTGTCCCCTGAGACTCTTCACCCCAAATTGCTCCTGTGGGAGCCACAGTATTGAGTATGTAAGTCGCTTTGGATAAAAGCGTCTAACAAGTAACATGTAATAATAAAAAAAAGATCCATGTTAATAATATTTTTGTTTTTTTTAAATCGTACATTTGGGAAAACCCGGCGCTCCCGGAGAAATCCCGCTATGCCACGGACAAGTTAATGAACTTTAACCCGTGGTATTTATCTCGTTGTAATTGTAGCTTGCTGGAAGAATATCTAAGCCCCCTGATGTCATGCTAAGACATCTTACTAATGTTTGTTTTTTTTAAATCGTACATTTTGGGAAAAACCCGGTGCCCCCGGAGAAAACCCGTTATGCCACGGATAATTTAGTGGCTTTTATCTCCTGGCTCCTGAACCGTTTTCATGTGTTCAAGGAAGTCATTGTCAACGGTGACGATCTTCACATTCAAGCCGTACATTCGGTCTTGATCTTCTTGGACCCTTTGTCCGAGTTCGCCGTTTGGATTCTGATCCGCGGTGTTTCTTTCCCTCAGCGGCTCATCACACATAGACTGCAGGTCGTTCATCTTTTCCTGCACGGTTTTGTTCTGAGAACGACCCTTCCTCAAAACACCAATCTGTAGGTTAAGATCCACGAGATCCTTCGCCATGGCGGCCCTATCACACCCCAAGGTCTCGTTGGATGCCTTCAAAGCCTCGTACTTGATCATGAGATGCTTTTCCTTGTGAACCTCATTGCTCAAACCCTGGATCTTTTTAATCAAAGCCTCGTTCTTCCTCTTAACGTCCTCTCTCTCAGCTTTCGCCTCCTTGTAAGAGTCCTCGAGCTCCATGAAACGCAGATGCCTTTCCTTGAGCTGCAACACTTCTTCTCGCAAGGAGACATGTTCGAGTCTCATGGCGGCTTTTTCTGTCACCATTGCGTTGCAACTTTCCATAATGGTGTCCTCGTTCTCAAGTTCTTGGCACAACTCGACTTTCTTTTGTTGCAACAATTGCATTTGCTGGAAAATCAACTCTTTTTCTTCCTTCGCAATGTTGTATGACCCCAGAAGATCCTCTAAACCCAGAAGCCTCCTTGAAAGCTCAAAGATCTCTTCTTGCAAGTCTTCGGTTTGGCTCATTTCCTCATATTTCGACCGGTTCATTTCGTCTATCTCAAACTGCACAATGCTTTCATTTTCAAGCTCCCTGCAGAGATCGACCACTTCCTGCTGCAGAGCCTGGTTCTTCTGGAAAACCGTCTCTATCTCTGCCTTAGACACTTGGAAACGATCCTGAAGTTGCTCTTTCCTTTGTTTGAGATACTGAAGTTCTTCCTCAAGGCCACCATTTACTCTGATGGTTTCCTCTGCGTCACTTCTCAATGCATCAAGCGTTTCCTCTGCAGCAGAATAGCTTTGGATCGATGAACGCACCTCTTTAATCTGTGCTTCGAGCTCTCTCTGTCCACGTAGTGCAGCTTCATGCTCAGCTTTGATAGCATCGATGCTATCCAGCTCATCTAGCTTGTCAAACATCTGTTCCTCGAGGATCTGTCGTTCAAGCTCCAATTCCTTGTTTGTCTGGATTAGTCCCTGGAACATCGCCTCTACGGTAACGTTATTTTCGATCTTCTCACTAAGAACCCTCACTGCTTTTTCGAGGTAGGCACACTTGCGCCTCGCGACATGTCCCTCTGCCTTCAGAGCGTCAAACTGCTCCCCCAGCGCTGGAAAGCTGCCGAACTGTTTTTGTATGGATTGTATTTCCACATGTAGGGTCTTGAGATGTTCTTGAACTGCCCCAAGACTCCTCCTAACTCCAGCGTAGTCACCTCCCAATTCCGCTTGTTCCTTATTGCAGGACATGTTTTTTTAAGATGACAATGATACACACAGTAGCAACTGGTAATACCTAACTGTTTGTGTTGTCAGCGTCAGACTGGTTTCTGCTAAGCCAAGATATGCTGTGCCTTAAAACTCAAACTGGTCTCCTTGCAGGTTCCCATTTGGAACTATCGATGATGTCACAAAGCACATCACAGCATCATCATGACATCACTTGGAATTTCTGCACAATGCTCACATGTAGAGATGTGGCCATGGCAACAGTGAAGATGCATTCTGGGTAACTTTGCCCAGGCATTCCATTTTTGAAAAAACAACAACAAGATGGCTGACTCCTACTCTCTATTCTACTCAATATTAAGGGAGTTCTTTGTGGAGGATTATGTAGTGAAAATGAAAACACTGATGTTCTGAAACTAATATATAAAAAGGGACTTGTGTTGGGATGTCCTGTTAACAATAAACCATTATTATTACTCAAAAATTGTCGTCAAGAGCAGAGAAAATACTCCAATTGAAAATACTTCCTAATAATACTCTTTATTCCAAAAAAATGTTGAGTCTGTAGGCATGAAATATGAATGTTTTTGGTACAAAATTAGCTTGAGAACAATTTTGTATTGGCCATTTATTGACTGATATGACGGCACAGGGTACCCTGATCAGAGCGTCCTGAATATTTGTATTTTAATTCAGTTAACTTTTATGTGTCTGTAGCCAGATCTGGGCAGTAAGTACACGGCCTGGTCTTCAGTGAGCACTCTGATCCAGAAGAACCTGGTGATGAAGACTCACAACCCTGCAAGGTACAGAGGAAACGCACACACACACACGATGGATTGACACACGCATTATTTCTGTACGATTTCAGATTCAGAGTGTTTTGAAGTGGACACGGGGGCTTCTCTTTCGTTTAAATGGAGTTCACTCTTCCTCCCTCTTCAGGTATTCTCTGACAGAAGAGGGTCTGGCTTTAGGGGAGTGCCTTGAGTCTTTAGAGGGAACTAAAGGTCTTGAAGGAGACAGAGAGGAGGCCAGGAGTGAAGGAAACGAGCAGGAGGAGGGAGAAGAAGAAGGTGGCCCGGGGATTGTGGACCTCACTGTTAGTGATGATGACGAAGAGGAGAAGGAAGAGGAGAGAATACAGTGAGTGTGCTTCAAAACTTCTGGGACAAAAACGTATCATTATCTCAACAAGTAACTCTACTCTGAAATGCATTTAAGTCGCACCTTTATTTTCCTTTTGTCATATGTTTGGACTGATAGACTAAGACCAGTTAAACATTCAAGATTTAAGATAACGTGGTCTTGGTTTTGACAATCTTAAGTCCCAGCCTCCTCCAACAACTTACGACATAAAAAGGAATAAATATAGTCCAAAAATATATAGAACGGTGCAAGTAAAATGCAAAAATAGGTCAACTATATACATGTAAAAAGTAAATACAGAAAAATACGGTGCTTTCTACTTTAATATACGAAAATACGTAGACTTTCCTTTGTGTGTTTTAGCTTGTAATGTTTCTGATGAACTCTCCAATTGTACATGTGTAAGTAATATATATTTAAGACCGAAATATCTCCATTATGTTTTATGATTGCACTTGTGTTGTTGAACTGTTTGTCAATACAATAAAAGGAATTGAACCGTCTTTTTCCAGACCTACAGAGAGGCCGACCTCCTCTGCTTCCCAGCCGAGGGTTCTCGTTCCTGGGATGTTCTTTTCAGGGAAACCCCGAAATGTACCGAGCAGAAAGCCAAAGTCCTGGAGTCTCCTTCCCGGCTCCTACGAGATCATCCTCTGTGTGGACTTCATTGAGACAACGGGGTAAGACCGCTGTGTGTTTTAAACTGTGTGAATCAAATGTGTGTGTGTTTCCTGAACGGTCGGTGTGTTTGTGAAGCGGAAGCAAAAACTGCAAGAAGGATCTGGTCAAAGAGCTGCAGAGGAACGGAGTGACGTTCGATGTGAGGAAGCTCAACGTGGGAGATTTCCTGTGGGTCGCTCGGGAAAAGGTTGCGCCTATTCCAGGTAACACAACGTAGAAAACAACTCGCCTATTGTGCAAAATCCACTGCTCCATGTCTCTTCTACATCAACATGTGTCCCCTCTTCTCCATGTCTCTTCTACATCAACATGTGTCCCCTCTTCTTCATTTCTCTTCTACATCAACATGTGTCCCCTCTTCTTCATGTCTCTTCTACATCAACATGTGTCCCCTCTTCTTCATATCTCTTCTACATCAACATGTGTCCCCTCTTCTCCATGTCTCTTCTACATCAACATGTGTCCCCTCTTCTCAATGTCTCTTCTACATCAACATGTGTCCCCTCTTCTTCATGTCTCTTCTACATCAACATGTGTCCCCTCTTCTTCATGTCTCTTCTACATCAACATGTGTCCCCTCTTCTTCATGTCTCTTCTACATCAACATGTGTCCCCTCTTCTTCATGTCTCTTCTACATCAACATGTGTCCCTTCTTCTTCATGTCTCTTCTACATCAACATGTGTCCCCTCTTCTTCATGTCTTTTCTACATCAACATGTGTCCCCTCTTCTTCATGTCTCTTCTACATCAACATGTGTCCCCTCTTCTTCATGTCTCTTCTACATCAACATGTGTCCCCTCTTCTTCATGTCTCTTCTACATCAACATATGTCCCCTCTGTGGAAAGAGACTCTGAAAGTTTCAGGAACAAAGATTCTCTCTCTTTTTGATCCATTTCTATAAAAACCTGTCTGAAAATGAGCTGATCAGATTTTGGCCACTTTATGATGTCATAACGATGTTTTGGCTTGTGTAACCATTAGCCAATCAGTAACCAAGGTAACCCCCCCCTCCCCCTTTATCGCCTGAATCTCCTCCTAGAGCACCAATAGCCGCGTTCACACCAAGTACTTTGCCGTACTTAGTTCCCAGCACTTAGTTCCACCATGGAACTAAAGAGCCGATCGCGTTCACACCGGAATAAGTTCCCTGAGGGAAGATTACGCAAATGAGCCGCTGACGTCACTTCTTCTTCTTCTGCTTTGGGTTTACTGGCAGGCCGCAAACAGCTTCACGGCGTATACTGCCACCCGAAGTCCCCGGCCGGAAGTCCCCGGAGTTGGGGACTGGCTTCAGTAGAAGCTGCTGGGACTCCCAGCAGCTTCTACTGAAGCCTTCCGAGTAAATCGCCAGAACGCCGACACCTCCTCATCTCCACCGCTCCCATGTTTTATTTTGTGTTGCCATAAGTTAGTGTCTCTCTGTTGGTGCGCGGGGCGAATGCTAATAATGCTAATGCCACAAATACAATGGCGGCTTCACAAAACTTTTCAGAGTTTTACGGGGCGTGGTTTGCAATCCGCCCAGCCAATCAGAAATTGGAACTTTTTTCTCCCCAGGAGAGTAGCACCTCTCTATCAGGGACTGAAAAGCTGGGAAAAGTTCTCATGAACTAAGTTCTCTTTTTGGTGTGAACGCAAAATCCCAGGAAGTATCGGAACTAAAAGGGAAAAGTACTCCGGTGTGAAAGTACCTTATGTGTTCTTTGTAACCAAATCTCTCTCAGAGGGGCGTGGGGAGGGGCTCCTTATTTTCATCTAAATTAACAGACAGAGAATCAGCACTTTGGAAACAGGGCTGAAACAGAGGGGATTATGGGTAATGCTGCAATGATCTGTTTGGTGTTTCAGCCAATCAGAGCCAGGCTCTGTATATATCTAAGACCTGTAATATATTGATGAAACACAGTATAATAGGGGACCTTGAACATAAAGTAAAAGACACAGGAAGTGAGGAAGAGAATCCCATCACCTTGTGTCCCTTAGCATGTCTCAAAACTATCTACATAAACTCGTAATTATTATTTTTATTTTTAAACATGTATTTATTGATTTTTTACATTTATCACATTACACAAACACAACCGAACATTAGACATATGGCAGATTACAAAATAATGCTAAAATGAAAAGTGTGCAGTTAGTAGAAATCAGTTTAAAGTACAGACCAAGAATATAAATAAATTAACAAATTCAACAGAAATACAATAAAAGCACAACCAGAGCTTACAATTCTCCAAATAGACGAACCGTATTCAACATTTCCTCACCGTGGTTTACTCTCTTCACTTTAACCGTCCACTGCTTCTGCAATGTCCCAATGTTTGTAATAAATTCCAACTCGTAATCATTTAGTCTTTCTCTGACTCCAGGTCAGTTGCGGACCCCCGTTGGCCGTGAGCTCGTCCTGGATTACATCATCGAGAGGAAGAGGATGGACGACCTGTGCGGCAGCATCATCGACGGGCGCTTCAGGGAACAGAAGGTGAAGAAAATACATCTTCGTCAACTTGAGTCTTCTCCATCAAATTATTAGTCGTGTACTCCGTTAACCAGAGCCCTGCATACTGACTTGAAATGGCTTGTTTTGCCCGACAAATGGTCAATAATCCCAAAGATATTTTCAGTTTATTATGATATGAAATGTAGAAATGCAAGAAGATTATCATATTTAAGATTAGACAAACCTTTATTAATCCCCATAGGGTTATTCTATCGGTAAAGCAGCAACAGGTATACGAGTGAAACACGGAATATATCAAAATAACAATATAATAATTCGGTGGAACTGTAAACATACATATATGGATACTTAAAATGTATATAAATGTCTGTCTTCAAGTGCATGTCCAAAAGTAGGTACATAGGATGCATCTTAAGTTTTATTTGAACTTGATGATTCATTTAAACATTTAATCGCAAATCAAAATGGTTAAATCTTCTGTAATGAGTTTCTTTGCTTTTACTCGCCGTATCTTTTGATACATTTGAAAACACTAATTGATATTCTACAATGCTGTTAATCAAATTATATAAAGAGTGTTTTTTTTACATGTGTTACTGTGCACAACGAGAAATGTCCCTTTCTTCTCCTCATCAGTTCCGTCTGAAGCGCTGTGGTCTGCGTAACCCCTGCTACCTGGTGGAGGAGTGTGGGAAGGCTGCCTCTCACCTGAGTTTACCTGAGTCCACGCTGCAGCAGGCCATCATCAACACACAGGTGAGAGAACACACACTCACACACCTGCATGGTGGTTTAGGTGCTGTTTACACGCGAACGCAAACGGTTGTATCCGCTACTTTTCTCTTTCGTTCGTTCACACGAGGCCGGTACGGAGACGCGGAAACGATAACGGGTCCCAAGGTGGATAGATCTGCAACCGCAACGCTCTGGGGGGCCAAACGGCTCCGTGTGTACGCCCTATACGATCATTTCCTGATAACGATGAAGCCATAGCCCCGCCTCTGCTGCTCACTGCTGTAGCATGGTCAGTAGCTAGTGCTACTGACCATGCTACAGATGTTAGTGCTAAATCTACAGCTCCTCTTAGTGTTGTCACGATACCAACATTTTGGTTTCGATACCAAGTCAAGAATTGCGATTTCGATTCTTTTTCGATACTTTTCTTAAAAAAAGGGAAACAGTCGTAAATGTAATTATTGTGCTTTATTTCACACCAGAACCAGAACACAAACTTTTAAACAATGAGAACAATAAATTAAATAAATGACTAGAGTTCGTATTAAATAAAATTAAGCATCATCTATAAACAACTTTTTTGTTTTTCGCTTCTGGCGTCTTTTTTGTCAACAAGCCGAGGCGCAGCGGCAGTTGCACTCCCACTTGCTGCCATGCTTCTCGTCTTCTCACATGCTCTGGCAGCTAGCGCGTGCACGAGAGAGGGGAGGGACTTAGAGCGTGCTTGAGAGAGGGGAGGCACTTAGAGCGTGCTTGAGAGAGGGGAGGCACTTAGAGCGTGCACGAGAGGGGCGGGACTTAGAGCGTGCTTGAGAGGGGGGGACTTAGAGCGTGCACGAGAGAGGGGGGGACTTAGAGCGTGCACGAGAGAGGGGGGGACTTAGAGCGTGCACGAGAGGGGCGGGACTGCAGGCATGAAGCAGAGCGCTGAACACACACGGCTCTTATTAAAACAGCGCTTTCTCACCGGAGTGCTTTTCCCCGTCATTCTTAAAGTACCGATACTAATGAAACGGAGGAATCGTAACGTTTTTAACGGCAGGGTATCGCGGTACCTTTCAAGTATCGGTACACCGTGCAACACTAGCTCCTCTACCACAACCATCAGCAACAAGCGGATAAATCCACCGCGGGGCATAAACAGAAGGGCAACCATGGCAACCATGCTCAGGGGTCTTCTTCGCTGCTTTTGGTGTATTTTGTGGCAGAAGTACAGCGCCACTTACAGGCCGGCATGTGTACTACAGCGTCTCCAGCGCTCCCGAGCGGTCTCGTGTGAACGGAAGACTTTTTTGACATCGTATTCGGTTCGTTTGCATTGGGGTCTTAATGTGCACTGCATTAATCACAAAACAAGATTTGTTTGAGTCTCTGATGTATACATGTTGTCTTTTGTGTGTGTGTGTGTGTGTGTGTGTGTGTGTGTGTGTGTGTGTGTGTGTGTGTGTGTGTGTGTGTGTGTGTGTGTGTGTGTGTGTGTGTGTGTGTGTGTGTGTGTGTCAGGTTATTGATCGCTTCTTTGTGAAGAGAGTCCAGGATGTGAGGGAGTCGATGGCCTACCTCACCGTCATGACTCGATACCTTAATAAACTCTACCAGGTAAACGTTTAAATACATATTTTATAAAAGCAATACATGTATATGTTTTTAAAATCGTCCCAAAAGATAAAACAATTACGGTAGGGTTTTGCCTCAACTTCAATCATTTAGACATGTTCTTATAGCCTTTTGAACCCTTGTTCTATAAAGAAATGAGTATATTGTGTATTACTGTATAGGGGTCTAAGACGGCCCCAAAAAAAGTGGAATAGTTCTGATAATAAACTTTTAAATCTGTTTTCCAGAACTGTACGCTGACGTGTCGCTCCAGAGAGCTGGAGGGGGATAGAGAGGAGGAGGAAGAGGAGAGAGGGACCCCCCCCCTGCTCTCTTATCTCTTTTGCAGAGTTCAACCACGGTGCAATCAAAAACAAGGTGTGTGTGTGTGTGTGTGTGTGTGTGTGTGTGTGTGTGTGTGTGTGTGTGTGTGTGTGTGTGTGTGTGTGTGTGTGTGTGTGTGTGTGTGTGTGTGTGTGTGTGAATATCTCTTTGCCTGTGTGTAGTTTTCCAATTTTGACATGCTTTTTTTTTTTTACCAGAATCCCATGAAATGTGTTTGTAATGTTTTTATCACCTTTGGGTCAAAATGTAGTTTTTTCTTAAGAAACACAAAATCCAACATGTAGATGACCATGGAAATAGCTAATTATCAAAACCCCCTCTCTGCACATTGGACATCAGCTTTCCTCTTGCTCCATCTTGTGTGCGATGTCGGTACAGCATCTTGATCTAATAAGGATTGCTGGAAAGACTGTTTATAAAGAGTCCAACACTACTGTGGGGTGCAAACATGTTTGCAGTCGGTAGAGACTTCTTGGCTTTTGCTCGGGCTGTAGACTTTAAAGGTGGATAACAGGTCCAACCATAAGAACAAGGACACATTATACTTAATTTATACATAACCAACTTGAAAGTTAAGGGGATAAGCTAGTTATCTTAGTGTTGACTGTTGTTTTGGGAAATGTTAAATATGAGCTTTTTATTGGTTTCAGTATCATACGGACCAATATGTATCAAAAAGGGACAAAACTGAAGACATTATAGCAAGACAGGTTTACATTCATTAAGATTCAGAAACAAAAGTTTAGTGTTAAAAGTAAAGAAATTGATTTTCAAGAGTAACTACGTTTTTATTTTATTTCCTTCAATAATACATTATTGCACGAATCCATGAACGTATATATCAGTACCATAAACATTGAGCTTGGTTTAACTAAATGTGAACTAACTGCCTAATTACTTTGATAACACTCTTTGATTAAAAGTTCAGCATGACTTTGTGTTTGTGAGTGTTTGTTGAACATAACTTTTGCAATGACAAGAGTGTGTGTCCTCCTCCTGCTCCCCCAGGCCTCCTCTGTAATGAACATCTCCCAAAAACAGCATTGGGAAGTTAGCGCCCCCTCCCTCTGCAGTGCAGCTCCTAGCCTGTAATTCCCCTCAGCTCTGACATCTGTAAGCATTTCTCTCAGACCACAGGAGGAAAATAGAAAGTTGGAAGCTACAGGCTGTGATTTGGGTGCGTATAAATAAAGTTGTGAGCGAAGGAGAGGCTGCTAATATGATGGGAGTGCAGAGGGTGGGAGGTCTGGAGCGGCAGGACACCCAAATCATCAAAGACAAGGGACGAGGAGCAGGAGGACAAGTGGAGCCTCTGAGGGTTTTCTGTATAGGACATTTAGATTTAGTCTCTATAATGTTGGTGGTTATTTTGTACATAATGTGCTAGTAAACTTTAGCTTACAGTTGAAATTATTTCTAAAAAGCCTTAAAAAGACAACATTTTTGGGTTCCTGTTTTAAACCTATACGTATGTTTGCTGTATCTACTTGTGTCACTCCTTAATGTAACTTAACACACGTAGTTCTGTCTAATGCATCCTTACATCAAACTCAATATTTTGTCTTATTATTTTAGGCATACTACTCTGGGATTTAGCATGCCATATATTTGGAAACATGAAATGTGGGCTTTTTAAAAAAGCACTTGCAATTTCACTATCTGTGATGACAGGCATTACAAGTTGGACCAAGAAGGGTTAAAATGGTTATCAGAACTTAAAACATATCTATGCATTGGCTCAGGCTATGAGGAGTTTCCTGTGGCCCTACCCAGGTTGCAAAAGGCTAATATTTAATGAAAGTCTTTTCCAAAATCTTCCACCATTTCATCTGCAATAATCCTCCGACTGCACAGATTTAGTTGTAATCATCCTGTCCAGCTGCAGGTCTGCACACGGCTCTGTAGTGGTCTGCCTGGGCGGCTCTGCCCTACAACCAAGGGCACACTTAGACCTAAAAAGATATATGTTCTGTAGTTGGTCCAGCAGCAGGCTCACAGCTGGGATTAAAGGAACCGTGTTGCCTCAGACCCGCCCCAGAATCAAAGCTACGAAGCCCCAAATTATCTCTTGGAATGGGTGTAGGTGCAGGCTGCAGCAGAGAAGCACGAGCCACAGAGAACAGCTCAACATCCCTGATTTCATTTGCTTAAAGGGGATCGGAAAAATGCTGATTTTTAAACCTCATGAAAAAGAGAGATAGAATATAGTTTTAAATACAATACTGAGTTAACAGTTTTATTTACTGAAGATATCAGCAATAACATGGTGTAAGGTTAAAATACTTAACACAACAAAATACAAATATATGAATAATGTCCAAAAACATGGATTTTGTAACAGTAATGAAATGCAAAAAAAAGCTGAAAAATAGGGATAATAATGATTGGGAGGTGAATGTTGACTGTCCTTTGTCAAGTGCCTTTTCTTCCTCAAGACACCCACAGTCTTCTGCTCTCTCTCTTCTTTCCCGGACAAGATATCATTTAAGCAGTCATCAAATTTCCTTTCAACATAAATACAATAAATAACACTGGAAATGACCCTCATTGCTCAATCACTCAGACGTTCTGAACTCTGTTTGTCCGTCTTTGATCAACTTTTCTCATTTCTACTGACCGTGTCTGGGAGATTGTCTCGTGTAAGCTAACATAACTTTAATACTGTTACTACAATTAGGGATGCACCAATACAGCACTCATAATACATATTCTAATAAGTATCAAATCAATGTGTTGCTGACTTAAACCAGTATTGGTCATTTGAAGTCACTGGTTCAAAAGTGTTATGTTTTATGTGAATCTCATACTGGTGGAATGGCCAGATTTTGTAATACCAGCATTTGTACTTGTGCATCTCAAAGAGAAAGCCCTTGTGATACTTTCTTTTTCGCTGGTTAAAAATACTTAAGTGTGGGATTGATATTAGCCAGCTCAAGTTTCCTTTAAGACTTCCTTTATAACTTGGCTCAGATAGTCAACAAATATGTGGAGCTATTATGTCAGCCATCATCTGCTGAAACTAATCAAATACCCTCTTCCGGTGAGTGTGAATGTGTTGACTTTAAGACTGATCCGTGTTTGTATTTTGTATTCTTTATTTCCCTCCCGTTGCCTCCATCTACCAGCTGAACAGTTTCATGAAGTGTTGGAAGCCGTCCTCTCCGAAGAAGTCGAAGGAGCCCTGGGAGGTGCTCAGGTGGATCAGCAGGAGCACGAGCAGCACCACGGCCAGCAGAGGGATCAGCATGTTCCAGCCGGCCGCCAGGATGTTGTACCACTTGGCCTTGTCCGAGCACTCCTGGGCCATCTGCAGGTTGCCCTGAGTCTTCTGGTCCCTGGCCTGCACACACAAAAACACACGCATCATTACATGCAACCACTGGAGTGAGAATAAGAATTAAAGGTCCCTATTATACTGTTTTTCATCAATATATTATAGGTCTCAGATATATACAACACATGTCTCTGAAGTGTTTGGCTCCAAACACCAAACAGATCATTGTAGCATTACCCATAATCCCCTCTGTTTCCGCCCTGTTTCAAAAGTGCTGATTCTCTGTCTGTTACTTTAGATGAAAATAAGGAGCCCCTCCCCACGCCCCTCTGAGAGAGATTTGGTTACAAAGAACACAATGGTGCTCTAGGAGGAGATTCAGGTGATCAGGTGGGGGGGGTTACCTTGGTTGGTGATTGGCTAATGGTTACACAAGACAAAACATCGTTATGACATCATAAAGTGGCCAAAATCTGATAAATGGACAACAATTGAGCAAATCTTATTTTCAGAATCTCTTTACACAGAGGGGACGCATGTTTATGTATAAAATACATGAAAAAGTGGATTTTGCATAATAGGTGACCTTTAAGTTTATTGCCAAGACGTTTTCACATATTGCAATTTTTCTTCTGGGCATACATGAGTATAGTAAGATCAATTACAATATTAAATAAGAGTCAATATAGAAATATTATTAAAGACAACATTGTATAAACTCCCAAAAATGTGTGAGAAAAAGAAAAGAAAATTCAATACAAATATGATAAATAACGGTGAAAGAATATGGACAGTCTATCTGAATTTAGTAGAAGAACTGTATCACAAAAACAAAAAACCCTAACCTTCATAATAGTTTAAAGACCCTTGAAGACCTAAACTATTTTACTCTCAAATTATTTTAAAATCAATCAATCAATCAATCAATGTTTATTTATATAGCCCAATATCACAAATGTTACATTTGTCTCAGTGGATTTCACAGTGTGTACAGAATATCAGTATGACAATACGACACCCTCTGTCCTTAGACCCTCACATCGTACAAGGAAAAACTTCCAGAGAAAACCCAGTTTCAAGGGAAAAATGGGAGAAACCTCAGGGAGAGCAACAGAGGAGGGATTCCTCTCCCAGGACGGACAGATGTGCAATAGATGCCGTGTGTAAATTGAAAAGATAATACATTTTCAACATAGGTAATCCAAATGTTAACATTATGCAATATAAAAGACGGTGCCTAAACACAATTTATGGACATACATAACAACAGTTTTACGTTGGCGTCGACACCCGTCTATTCTGTAAATAGTAAAAGGAGGTCAAACAACGGCATGTTATAATGTTCAGTTGTGTCTTTGCTTACAACCATTTCATTGCAGCTTGTCCCATAATTCCTAGTGTTCCTGCACTGAGCGCAGATCAAGGTTGAGGGAGGGTGGAGTGATATTAAATCCTTGAGCTGCTCCTACGGTAAAGTGCATCCGTATATTTTAGAACGGATCAGGCGGAGTCCCTCCCTAGCACTCTCTAATTTCCCATGAGTACTTGCCCATTAGGAAGATGCCAATTACACCATTTTTAACTCCCCAGCCGAGCAGCCAGGCACCGTCTTTAATTTGAGCGTTGAGCCAATGCTAGGCCTGTGATTCAGAGCTGCGCCCTATGCACACAGATGAAAGATTAAAATACAGACTTCAATAAAGGGTATACACGCCCTTTGGTGGTCAGTTTTTCAGTAAACGTTTTAAAAAGTTAGACACAGTTTGTTAAAACTCTGAATCTTCTTTTCGGTGAGCAAAGCGTTAGTTTTGATTTACTTTATTGTGTCTCCAAAGCTCCATTCCTGCGGTGAGGGCACACAAACTGTATACAGTGTGCGCCATTGGACCAGGGACAAAAGCAAAACAATTTGAACATGTTGCTTTTTACATTTTACAAAAATGATTTTCTTTTTTAACGAGAGCTGGCTGTGTTTGATTTCCCAATGTAGCATTTGCCTACTGTACATTCTTTTATAGATTTTCTTGCCCACTCGACCCAGCTTTTGTCTATTTCAGAAAAAGAAGGCTTAGTTCTCGTAGATCCTTCTAAGCAGATAAGGTTGCACCAAATTGTCAATATATTGCATAATGTTAACTTATTTTTCTAAATCTGTTTTTTGGTCAATTTTAGCATTTTTTGCTGTTCCTGTTTATATAGCATTTTAATTTTTTCCAGATTTCCAAAGTTTATCAGTCAATAAGAATCAATGAATGGGAAAGGCTCATACGTATATTTCAAAAGACTTTTTAAAAGGTTATTATAACAGTGCCAGATACACGACAGTGAACATTGGCTTGTGTTGTTGGACTCGTTCAGTCATTGTTTTGACATCTTATTTTCAACATGAAACGTGCAGCCTTATCAGATCTTCTTCCTTTTGACGCCTGATTTAATTACTGAGATGTTGCATGCTTCATGGAAGTGGTACAAATTGAAACATGCCTGTAAAGTGTTGCACAAAAGTGTCTCACCTTGATGGAGTAGATGAGAGCCATGAATCCCAGGCAGCAGAAGTTAACGTACAAGGTGTTGCACAGCGACCAGACTAGATAGTCCTTGGGAGGACACTTGCCAGCATTGTCCATGTTCACCACGGTGGAAGCAGCTGGCTTTCGGACAGATTTACTGTTGGTCAGCGGGGTGCAGTCCGAGGGGAAGTTGTACGAATGGTTGTCCATGGTTGCCGTGTAGATAGAAGATCCCCTGCTGTGTGTGGATAGGTAAAACTGGCAAGCTGTTCAGGAGTTGGTGCACGGTACCTCTTTGGAAAAGTAGTGCCCCCCCTGTATGAGAGGCTTATAAAGGCCCATGAAGAGGGAGGTGACCGTGAGAGAACGCAAGGGCAGTGTCCTTTAATACACAGCAGGTCTGTCATTATGTGGTCTGAGAGAGACTGAAATAGAGGGACAGAAAGCTGCATGAAGGAGAGGACAGAGAAAGAGACTGCGAATAGAAGGGAGCAGTGCGCAGTCTCTTCCAGTAAAGTGTCCATCACCTCGGCTGTCTTTTAAGGTCTGGTAGGCCAGGTGGTTGAGTAAAGTGTAGTTAGGGAGGCCTTCAGGGACCAGTCTGTAATGTGGTCTCTAATGTAACTGAGTGGGTGCAAAAAGGTCATATTTGATAACACATTTCTAAAATATTTGACAATTCCACAAGGTTTTGAGGTTACAAGACCTAAAATAAGGAAATCTTCCAGCTTAAAAACACTTTCTCTATTTAAGATGAAGCTCAAACAACGAGTTGATTAACAGAAAATACACTTTACTGATAGTGTTGGTCCTTTTCAAGCTTAAATGCCAACCATTCTCTGTTTCTAGCTTCTCAATGGGATGGTTTGCTGCTTCTGATTGTAACACACTCTGTGATAGTTCACAAAATGCTGTGGTTTTTAGACTGCTGGTCAGCAAGTTGAAGGTTAGGTATCACATTACTATCTAAATTGATGTTAATAGACATTATTTTCTTTTATAGTTATTTTTTTTAGCTCAAGGCTGAAGGTTTAGTGTAGGACAAGGGTTGAAATACATTTTTATTACATACATTTTGTTGTATTTATTTTTGTCAGAAGGCAGGATTAGCTCATAGGCCTATTTCATTTTTAAGCTAATAAATTCATTCAGTTACTCACGTTGGAGTTTCCAGAACAACCGCTGGGTATCCCCACGGCAGAACAGAGGTGTTTAGTGGCTTGTTAAAAGGAACACCAGTAATTACTCCGATTTTTTTTTTACAGATTTGCCCAGTGAAACCAGTGGAGTGAGCCATGCAAATATAACTTGCTTTCTGCCTATGCAACATATGAATTGATTGACACAGATACATAATTGTTGACATAAACATCCTGCATGTGAGGGACACAAGATTTTACAGTTGAGTATGTGCATGTTTTGTGTTAAAAAAAAACCACAACATTTCAAAACACAATGTACAGATTATTGAATAATCATCTAAAATTAAACTGAGCACTGGTTTGGTTTGGTTACCCGTAGTGGCAATGTTCAATGTTGAAATGTGAAACAACACTGCCCCCTGCTGGCAGCTTACTGTATCAGTATCCATACTGACTGTAATAGCCATTTGTTCTTCATCATTTTGAACTAATAAACACACGTAACATAGGGACATAGAACAGACAATGACAGCCGCAGATTATAGAAACTACAAGTTATCGAAACATGCACGACGAGACAAGTGACACATTTTAACTTTTAACTTGTGTTTTCACCATTAGCGTAAATTATTATCATTATGTATATGACGGAGCCAATCTGATTTGTAACACTAGTTAACACTTAACACACGTGAATACAATCTAACACAGCATCTTCGTATTTAACACATTGTGTTAAAAATGTATAGTTTGAAACGCGAAAAGAAAAAAAAACACTTAGCAGAGGATGGTTTCGATCCATCGACCTCTGGGTTATGGGCCCAGCACGCTTCCGCTGCGCCACTCTGCTGCCTGCCATAATAGGTAACCTTTATAATTATATACTTTCTATATTTGGATTTAAGCAACGATGTGACACGATTCCAGTGAACTATCGTTCTTGTAGAAAATATATTTTATAGTTTATAGTCCAAGATATGTTTAGCGTAAGCAAAGCAAGAAATAATAATAAATGAGTGTCTTCAGTGTCGGTTACATACGATAGGAACTCTGTGTCTCCGTCTCTCAGACTTTGTGAAACCACACTAAAGAAGATATTCTTGCACACATTTAATAACCCATACACAAACTATTCCTACAGCTACAAAAACGTTTTACATTAGCAAATTATCACTTATAAACTGTAGAACCAAGCACTTACTGGCCGATGGATGAATTGTGGCCGATATCATCCATGATATCAACCCACTGGTGACGTGCCATATCGTGAAAGCACTTGATTGGTTCCTGGTTCTCCGCTCCAAATTTCAAACAGGAAGCAATTTATAGTGGCGTGCTGTTTTCGCAAAAATGGGCAAAGTACATGTAAAAAACAACCCAGCAATCCACAAAAGTTAGCCAAAGATTGGAATTACAAGAAAACAATTAAATAATTGGTCAATCAGGAGTTAAGGTGCAGATA